GAAGAAAATTAGTACTTATATAAAAATATTTACTCTTCCAGAATATTATATTTTAAATAAATAGGTATAAATTGTATTTCTTTTCATTTAAATTAATCATCAAAAGCTCGTTACTGTTTCGACGAGAAGTCTATCAATTTCTGGATTTATTAAGCTACTGATTTAACGTTAAGAACTTAAACTCGGAATTTTAAATGGCTAAGCAAATATTTCGGTCGTTTTTACATAACCCCGTGAGACACGTGTGCTAAAGAAACAAATGCGCACTTAATCTCTATTTACGCCTGCGATAAGTCTACTTCGGTGTTATACAAATATCACCTGAGGGTAGCAATCAGGAACGGCTGTGATCCCCTGTTACGCAGAATAAGCTCTGTACTCCTGGTATTAGCGTACTTTTTCGTAGGCTGGGCTTAAAATACCCTTGAGAAAACTTGAGTCTTATGGCGTTGCGATATCATTTACGCTGAAACTTTCATCGTTGGCCAATTCACTGCAAGGATAGCAGTCATCGGCGAAATAAACTCTCTTTCTCCATAAATTAAAAGCTTGTTTTTAAACAGTACGAATTTAGAATTATATTTATTATACAAAAACACGATTGTGATAAAAAACGACTGCGTTTATTTCTTAAAAAGAGGTAGATAATTAGCTAGTTTAGTGATAATTAGGTACGTAACTGTATCCTCTAATCTAACACCTTATCTGGTCAGTTGTGCTTTTATCTCCCTCACAAAAAATTTAGGTTCCTACTTGCTATGGAGGTCATTTGAAAAGCTTAATCCGTTTTATAAACTCGGGAAACGAAAACCGACAAAAAACAGGAAGCGAGTGCGGGATTATAAATACGTGACGTGGGTAGGGATGTTGATTTTGCTCCTTGCAAACAGTTATTCGTTAAAACCATTTTTGTTCACACTGAGAATTCCACGGAATACGGAATATTATTTGCCTGAACTATAACTTTGTCACGCTGAAAGTGTAACATGGTTCTAAATTTTCCCCTATCTATTTATTATTAATATTGAATACCTCCCGTACCTACATAACCTTATAACATTATGTTTAATCCTGCATGTTCCAATTTGGTGAAATTGTCGTAACCAAGTGATTATTATTGCATTTTTCATAATTTCTGATGAATAAAATAATTAAGTAACTTTTAACAAGATTTAGTTATTTAAAACATAGCAGTTATGAAATTTATTTAAAAATATAATTTGTTAATAAAAATAGAATTAATTTCTCAAAATGTGTATTTGATTGAACTTTTAAAAACGTATCTTCTGGGAATTTCCCTAGAAGATACGTTTTGTTGATACATGATGTGACGTGAAGATTTGTTGTAAGGTCGGTGTTTTTTAATTATGCCCATAGATACAAGAAAAATTATATATTCCATACACTATTACTACAAATGTTGTCTGTGTAATTAAAGGTTAACTAAAACGTTTAAAGAACGCCCGGGAGCCATATTAAAACAAACAATGCTAGCCACATTATACGTTGCAGAGATTAAAAATTCTTGTGGTAATAACATTACATTTGAAAACACTTGGTTAGATGGTAGAATGCGATGGTCTAACAAATTAGCATTTTTCGCTCCTTTTACAGCCTAATGCGTTTAATGTTTGACCAAAAATGTTTAGTTACGGTGATAACTTATTTGGATAAACTAAGTTACTTTGCAATTATTTTTAAATCCTTTACTTTTATATCGTCTATAGTAACAGACATTTATAGGCTGTTACTTTTACCTATTTTAGGGAAAAGTATTCTAAATTTTTGTGTTTATTTTGATGAGGTAACCGAAGCTCCATAATTTTAGGCTTTGAAAAAAACGCCGGAAAATTTCTGGTTGTTTAAGTGTTGATGTTGTACTGTTACTATTCTAAATTAAAAAAATGTATATACCGTTGCTATTGTGAGCAAGAAATCTGGCTAAGCATCGCGGTATTAATTATTCCAGTTTTGGCTACTATGTGACTGTTGCGGACCATTGTCAACACTAGTAAAATTTGAAGTCTATGTATCCGACGTGAGTCATAGGACTCATTAGGTAGGCGGTGGCGATTACTCGTCGTAATTATATTCTGTAAGGTACGAACCTTACAGAATATAATTATAGATTTGACCTATGCCATTTAAAATGACATAAATATTTTATGTATATCACTTATAGTTTAAAGTGAATGCACAAAACTTGTAAACATTATTAAAGAATTTGATGAAATGCTTGAAAAGATATTGAATTATTTTGGTTTTGGTTGGAAGATGGAGGATATAAGTATATGTCCTAAAAAATCATCTTTTCCTTTAAACATGCAAGAATATTATAAAGATAAGTTTTAAAACTTATCTTTATAATATTTGCATTTTTAGACCTAACACTCCTAACAGCCGGAATCGGAGAAAGGGGCCATTTACTTATGATAAGTAATCCTTTAAACGCTCTGCGGGTGGTCAATGGATTTCTGGTGTTTGCCCGTGTGAGATAGGCGTGAAAGTTAGGACCGACGAACAGCTTTAGTCCTAAGTTATTACTTATCATCCGTCGAGCTTAATTACTTTTGTTTTAGAGACGTCCACTGTAAGTAATTTCATTATGTGGGTCCAGACAATACAAAATACGATTTTTGCACATTTCGATTTTCGCCTATTATTTTTAGGAGAAATTTTACATTCAATTACTCGTATAATTATTGTTCTAATTTTTTTCGTGTCTTCTTAATACGCGGGTATAGGTACATAAGTAAAAAATAAGACATAAGTCAATGCAGAAATGGACGAAATGCAAAAGCTTCGCGAAATATTTGCCTCTGTTTTTGGCACTCGTCTGAATAGCTTCAGCACCGCATGCCGGAATGGTTACTATGATATCTGGTGCAAATCATAAATGGAATCCACAGCTAAAATTGTTCTGGTAGATTCTTTTAGGCAGCGACAGAGTGTTTGCCAAAAATATAAAACTTGCATTGGAATAACATTAGCAGGATAATGTGTTTGTAACTTACAAAATTAGATTTCATTATTTGTCACATTTTGACTTTGAATATATTATAGATTTTACCATTGTGTTACGTAGAGTCGCAGTGGTTAACTACTGACGAAAATGACGTGTTTATTTTAATAAAGACCGCCGACGCCAAATGAGTAATAATGAATATACACAGACGCAGACAACCGGAACTGGCTCTTATTGAATAAATTGTTCAAGTCATTTGTTCATTCATTTAGATTATGGTGATTAAAGAGTTTATAAGTATTATTTTTAACTATTTCTTTTAATTTTTATCACTTTATAAATTACTATTATTATTTACTTTAGTAATTTGAAAATTACCTGATCTAAGGTTTCGTTCATTTTCTATGCGCCTTGCTATTATAAAGATTTAAAATGGAATGATTATATTATTATTAGAATGATTTGTATATCGAAAAACAATTTCTATGTTTACGGAAATATGTATTATACAAATTATTGTAAGAGCGTGCAGGGGAGTATGTTAGCTATATTTAAGTCTCAAAACATCGACGTTTATTTGTATTATTGCGTTCGATCTCTTTGAATCCCAGTTGTAACATTTTCGTTTGATCCCATTTTTGTACGCGAATCGAGAGCTCAAAATAAATAAGTAGAGACGTTACATTTATTTTTTTAACGGAATTAGTCATTGCCGAATAAATTATCTGTTTATATGAAAGGTTCGAGTTCGGAATGTTGGCGCAATTTTTTTCCTAATTTGAAAGTGTGGTGGAAGACTTGTTAGTGCGGCATGTGGCCGTCAGCCGGCGCCGACCACGCGTTACTCCAGTCCAGGTGTCAACGCAGCTGACGAGCATCCCTCAAGTCCGAACATGTTGCCGCGTGCCAACTTTCAGAGAAACCTTGTCACGTGTAATGCAATGACGAGAAAGGCGACCATTTCAAAAATTAAACCGCCAGAAGTTCGACGCTTTTAGTTCTGAGATCAAATATTATATAAATGAGCCTTTGCTAAATTGTCTATTAAATGCATACTAAATATTAAATGTAGGCAGAATTTCGTCTACATAACTGGTAATCTCGGGAATCAGTTAATCGATAAAATTTTCGTTATCTCCAATATTTCAAATCGAAGCCCATAAATTAATAAGAATCACATAGTCGATAAAATGTTTGTTATCTCCAATATTTCAAATCGACATTGTCAACAAATTAGTAATGTTAAAGTAAGCGTACGTAATTGTATTACTGTGATATATAGCTTCCGTAGTCAATATTTGTATGCTATACTAATCTAATCTGGTTTGTTTTATTATTGTCTTTCCATTCTTTCCTTCACATGCATACCTAAAGTAAATTATTAATGCGAAAGGAAGGGTCAATTCGATTCTCAAATAATTAGATTAAAAATGTATTACATTTGTATATGTATGTTGCTATTTAATGTTTTATGTTTTAAAGTTACAAATAGTATACGGAATTATGAGTATTAATGAATAGTAAACTGTATAAATTGGGAGAAACCAAAATTAGTATCAAATCGGTGGAAACAACACTCGTACCAAATTAAGTTTTACTAATATAGATACGTACATACCTTACCATATTTCAAATAACTTACTGATAAGTATGCTTAGTTCCGTAGAGCTATATTGTAATTTGTGGTTTATCATCCATTTGTAGAATGTTATATGTGGTAATAAAAATATGCGACAATAATTTGTTGTTGAAATCATATAAATAGGTATATTACAAGTAATTGTAAATTATTTTAGCTAAACGTGATGCTTAACAATAAATACATATACATACAGGTATCTTTTATGTCTACATTTCTTACTGAACATGTGATTCACAGAAATTTACGGATAAAGGAGCCGCTTAGCCCTTGTGTGACACATCCTGTCTCATTGTTGCAGTTGCCTGCAGTCTCTTTTGCCCTGTTATAGTAAAATTAGTTTTCTACCTGCTCGCTTTATACAGACGTGATACTAACAAAAAGATGTGTGCGCTATAACAATTGGTAGGGCTCGGGCGGCGCGGCAATGGTTCCAGTTCGATCCCGGCCATTGTTGAATTCCTCGGCGGCATTGACGCCACCGCCCCCACTCTGCATCAGGTATTTATGAATGAACGTGACGGTCTGGCGGACGGACGTTACGCCGCGGTCACCGCCAGGTAGAAAATTACACTTTTGGAATTCTTTCGACGCGAGTGGAGCTACTCGACTCGGTGGTCGAGGATAAGCCGCAGCGAGGGGCGCGGGGACAGGGCGCCGCCAAAGCGCATGCGTCGAGCTCTTCTCACTGAGACGATCCCTCCCTCTCAGTTTATTCACAGCCGTCGCGGGCGAGCGCTGTGCCGTCATGTGCCGTCTACCAACTTTCTCGAGTAGTGATGTGATACGGTATTGCAGTATACAGATGATGTACCGCTAAATGTGTCGGTATATTAAAAGTGCGAAAATTATGCAGTAAAAACTGAGGAAAAAGTTTATGACTGTTTAGAATCGAAAACATTTTTGTGAAAACCATAATGAAGTGGCTAATAGTGATAGTGAACTTTATGGTATGGGGAACAATTCTCGCTGGATTCGCACCACCTGGCTCGTGTCCCGCGGTTTGCGCTTGTAAATGGAAAGGTGGCAAACAAACGGTGGAATGTGTGGATCGGGCTCTTATTACCGTGCCAGAGCCCGTAGATCCTGCCACTCAAGTGTTGGACCTCTCAGGAAATAACTTGCAGATACTTCCGCAAGAAGCCTTTGCTAGAACCGGACTTGTTAATTTGCAACGCGTGTATTTGCGTAGTTGCAACATCGGCCAAATACATGATCGTGCGTTTAAGGGTCTCACTAATTTAGTCGAATTAGATCTTTCACACAACTTATTAACGCAAATACCGTCAAACAGCTTCAAGGACGCTCCTTTTCTCAGAGATCTAACATTAAGTCACAACCCTATAATTAAAATACATTCTGATGCTTTGAGTAATCTTGGAAGCATAGTTAAACTCGACTTATCTAAGTGTGATATTAGAGATATCGCTTCCGATGCATTTAGAAATTTAAGATCCCTAGAGTCTCTAAAATTAAATCACAATAACCTTCGCGACTTACCATTAAGCTCTTTAGAGAAATTGGAGAAACTCCGCGTTATTGATTTATCCGATAATCCATGGACTTGCGATTGCCGATTGCGAGATTTAAAGCTTTGGCTGGCGAAACATAAGTTGCTATCCACTCCTACATGTTCATCGCCTCCTAGATTGGTCAACAAGCTATTTTCGGAGCTAACAATTGAAGAATTCGCCTGTAAACCAGAAATTTTACCGATTAGTAGACATGTTGAAGCGGGAATCGGAGAAAATGCAACTATTATATGTAGGACAGAGGGAATACCGAGCGCAAATATTAATTGGTATTGGAACGGTAGATTATTACAAAATGGTAGCAATTTTAATAACCAGCAGAAAATTATTGTATACGAAGAAGGGGATGCTAAAAAGAAATCTTCATTGATTCTTACAAACATGCAAGAGTCTGAATCAATCGAGTTTTATTGCGTTGCAGAAAACAAAGGTGGTAACGCGGAAGCCAACTTCACGGTCCATGTTTCCCAGATGGCAGCAGGAATGGCGTCATTAGGCAGCGCACAAATAGCGAGCCTGGGAGCCGCGCTGTTTTTGCTTATTGTTGTAATTTCTCTCGGCTTACTTATAACATTTGTGCGGTTTCGACCTTCGCCGTCTTGTGAAAGTAAGACTCCGAATACTCTTGATAGAGTTGTCTCGGGAAACGAAGTACACCCGGCGGCGAATGATCGGCCGCACGTGGCTGTTATGGCGAACAGGCAGGCATCGCCCAATTATAATGACGTTAAGTGCAACCCGGTCGTAAAACCGCCAAGAGTCGGTGACATGCCTTATACAACCAACCATTACGAAGGACGGGGCAGTATTGTGACCGCAGGTGGACCTGTAATGGTTTCACCAACGATTTCTGCCGGAATCGACCCCGACCTGATCAATGACACCAGACCTGAAAGCGCTACTAGACCAGGGAGCGGTGAATACGCCCGGGAAACTTCCGACTCACTATATCCTTCAGGTCTATGGGAACAGATGAAAATGAATCAGGCAAGCAGTTTAGCTAGAGCGGTCAGCTCTGCGATTCCGAACTATTACACAGATAGAACGCCCATCATCGAAAATTCCAGCGTGAACGGTTCCCAGGAGGAACTGGGCTATATGAGCAGGACATTTCCGCGTTCACATGCTGTGGCAGCAGTTACGACGGTACCGATAGATGCATCCTATCCTCCAGATTATGGCTTACCCGCCGGGACAGGCCCGCGAACCCTTCGAGTGTGGCAGCGTGCCCCACCTGTTTTACCACCAGTCTCGGCATTAAAGCGCGTTCTTACTATAACCAGACCCTCGACGGAAGATGGATTTAACGATGGCTGTGCCACAGATGTTTGAACGTTGTAATAATGTTTAAATCCAATCGAGTATTATTCAAATGTAAATATTTTGTGTATACATTATGTGGCGCGTAACCTATACGTACCTAACTAAGCTATTAGTTACTGTTAGTGTGATAGTTTTTGTATAATATAAATTATTGTTTAGGTAATTAGAGGAAAGTTTCATTGGGTCCTAATGTTTGAGGGATCCACGACTGATTAGATGATGGAAGTAAGTGTAAATTTATCGTTTTATGGAACGGTATTTATTATTACTGATCGCCAAATAAATTAATAAATTATAAAATTACAAAATATACATATATCCCGAATGTTGAAACTGTCTATAATGAGTGTTAAATAACTGTATAACTGTAAAAAAGCGAAATATCCAAAGACGTGTCTACCGCAAGGGCTATGAAACCTTTGCTTATTGTTGTAATGCACGATGAATGTTATTCGATGTATGATGATGTATGTCAAACTATGTTGAAAATAAGAATATTAGTAAAATGAGAAATAAAAATGGCGACGAAAACTACACTTATTTTTTAATTTGTATATCCCTTAGAGTAAGACTACTTAGAACATTCAGGACAAAATTCTGTAAAGGCCCCTAAGGCCAACAGTGGCTCATCCAGCCCAAAAAAAAAATCAATTGTGATCATTAAGGTTTAACAATAAAACCTAAGTTATATAATATTTATTAAATCATTAACAGTTAAACATGTTTTATTTTTTATAAAATGTTATTTCTTAGTTACTTTATGGAATATGAACCTTAACAGGTAGCCCTAAATATACAATAAAATACCGAAGCAAAACGTTACCGGTACACACATTTTTTTTTAAAAACTTCAAATAATAGAAATCTCATTACAGTTGTGTGATTATATGCATGAAGTTATTTTTCATTTTAATCAAAGTTTCTTTAAAGTAACATTTTCTTTATGCAAAGTAGCTAGTTAATTTTCTTTTCTCAATTAAATTTCACAATTAAAATAATGTAAATGTTTAATTTTTTAACATTTAAACATCATAGTTAAACTTTAGCTACGATGTTTAAATGCAAGTATCTTTATACTTACATGATTTGTTATGTAAGTTGACCTAGCATCATTAAACATCTTTACTGAAGCTATGCCAACTTATATAGGCTATATTTTTATAATCAAGAGGCAATTTTGCGATTTTTGCGTGGTAATTTAATGGAAATAAAGTGTCCGTGTCGCAGTTAATGACTAATAAAAACATCACATTTTTTTATATTACAGCCCTAAAGCGGTACAATGAATGGTATGGTATCGCTTTTTTCATTGAACCATCAAGCTGGTCGTATTTGCGGTAAAAAATATAGGGTCGTTCTCTCGGTCCCAAGCTCCGGAGAAACCGGTTAGCGCTATTTCATTTCCGCTCAATTCGGTTTTTTATTACAAAAAACTAAACCCTAAGCGGGTTCAATGGAATCAAGTTTGAAGCGTGAAGTTGGCGGTCAAATAATATAAAAAGAGTTTTAAAAGACGGTTTATGAATGAACGGAAGTATAATTTCACGAGATCACTTTGTACTATTTTTTTTAGATTAAATTTAGAAAGTACATTTAAACTTTCACTTGTAACTAGCATCATTGTTTGTTATGTTTGTGTAATTGTGATGACACTTTTAAAAATTGAGACACTGAGAATAATATAACTTCTTGGACATTTACTCATTATTTAATGTGTGTTTATTTTTTAATTAATTATTTTGTTTAGAGGAATGATACAAAATTACAAAATTAGCATAGGGACGAGATGATCATGAGTGATGTTGTGTTCCTGTTTCAAACTTATCGAGTATAGTTCTGTTAGTTTGAAATCGCTGGTGTTTACTCGGTGTTCAATAGTAGCAGTGTCTCTAGTTGTATGGTACTTAAAAGTTTAAATACGTATAAATGTATTCATTGAGTGAAAGATTCCAGAACGTTACCGCCATACGGCAAATGCGATAAAACGTTCTCATTATGTGGCCAAATAAACATCGCCTCGCTTTCCTTTTGTAGAGCACCTCATTTACTTTCACTGAAAACAATAAAATGAGCCGACATGAAATTGTTAGTTTCTCTCTTTATGTACGACTACACTTATCCTAAGCCATGATTATTTAATTTTACTAACATTGATAGTTCTATAAATGAGTATATACGTCCGAGTTGTAACAAAAGCTTCATTTGATAGTTAACTTAAGGATATCTGCCATAATTATTAGAATTTGACATAATTCCTTTCGATTCAAATGACGATGTCCATTTCTAAAATGTCAAAAAGTTTTTTTTGAGATGTCTTTATTGATTGCATTGGTTTTTGGTCTTTAAGCTGTACTATATGATTGACTAGAGATGGACCAGAGCAAACATTTTATTGATTATCTTTAATTTGTCAACTTTACGTTATTCATACATAGAAATTGAAATAAATATATGAGGTTTGTATGACATAATTATGAAGTTTTTAGAGTACATTTAAATGTTGAATTTACACCCTTTAGTTCCAAGTTTTTAAAATGAAATGATGAAAGTTTTTAAAATCCAAGTTTTGAAACAAATACTTTTTGAATATGGTATGCCCCCAAATAAAAGTAGTCAATGTTCTTTAATACAAAAGTATCATGTTTAAATGCATTCCGGAAGTTTTAACGGCGGACATGCTTAAGTAGTAATGTGGTTTTATTAAAGTATACGATTAACGATTGACGTTATGCGACGGATATTTATACGCGATGGAGAGAAATAAAAAGGTAAAACGATAAATGATGGACATCATTTCCGGTGGCCGTTACAAATATAATGTTATGTCGATTCGATGCGGGTAAGAACACGTCCGGATTTAATGATCACTTTTATGTGCGATGACTTTTCTTTTTCATCTATATTATTTTAACCGTTATTATAAATGAAATTCCGTTTTTCTTCTATGGTGTAATGGCATAGTATTGCGTATTTGCGCGAAAAGAAATGTTTAATAGACTTTAACAAATAATTTTAACGACGAACGTAGTTTCTTCCTTGGCGGAATATCTCCAAAGAACCTTATACCTTTTTAAATTTTCGCTAATTGCGCCTGAAACAATTTCTAATTTATCAAAAGAAGGTGCTCCACTGCGGTGGGAAATTAAAGTTTTCCTTAAAACCAAGGTGGAGTTGAAAGTTTGAAGGACTTTTTATTTATTTGCTTAACGTTTGGAATAACGTTTGGTGCTTTAATAATTGTTAAGAGTTTAATTAAAACACCTTAAACTGTGTCAATATTAATCCATAAGCATAACAAAGAAAAATTTTGTAAATAATTAGGAAACATTCACAAAAATTGATACGTAATTAATAGCTTATCAAATTTAAGGGGTTAGAAATATAATTAAGTTAAATAATGAGTATTTTTTCTTGAATTGGGTAAAGTAGAAATATTACCCGGTAAATGTTATATTCGAAAACATATTGGAAGTTATGTAAAATATCATTTTATGTGAGCTAGTGATACATCAGTTGCAAAGTATTACTGTTGTCTATGGACATTGACTTCCTGTGTTGTAAATGCGTTTTTGTCATAAAAAGGTTATCCTACTTATCAGATGAAATAATAAAGTACTTACTACTAACTTAAGGTTTTCATTGGCGAACTGTGAAACCGCTTTCCTATATTAGACTATTTGTGCAACGCCAGAATCTGTTGAAACGCTTGAAAAAGAAAAGCAATAATTTCTGATTATAATGACAATTATACATACTTACACCGCATTTTTGGATAATGTACACCTTTATAAGGTCCAATCGATATAATGAAACGAATCTTGATGCTAATTTCTACTACTTTATTATATAATTCAGTTATATTTACTCGTAATATTTTAAACAAACTAACAGTCTTATAATTTGAACTAAGCGTAAAGTGACATCCACATTTAATTACTACTTGAGGTGTGATCCGCGCCGAATAAAAGGAATCGAAAATAAAATGAAATTTCATTCCATTTAACTTTGTGTATAATTTATAATTTCGTGCGACATTGTAAATAAGAACCGCCAATGACATTTCATCGTTAGATCACTCATGGAGATGGAAATGACAACATGTAAATTACATTTTTATAGATAAATCGGTTTTTATATATGATGAGACATTGAAATGCAATATTGAAAATAATAGCGATTCAATTTTAGGGATCACAAGACTCTACCAAAAGTCTTCTTACTGTTAAGCTTCATACTTATCGTGATATTTATAAATAAAAAGTAGTTTATAGAATTTTCTTGTGCATAAACATTATATTATGCAAATATCAGATTGTACCGCAACTCATTTGCTTACTTCATTAAGATATCAACCAACAAAAATAAATGAAATCCATAAAAATATTATAATTACCGAAGGTTCTTTAGATACGATGGACATATATACATATACTATAGATTACTAGCTGACCCGGCAAAAGTTGTTTTGCTATATAAATTAATTGTAGGGCCGAAAAAAAAATTCATTGGTGGACCACCCTTAACATTTAGGGGGATGAAAAATAGATCTCAGAGAATCAGACTTCTCCACCCTGACCGATATGCACACAAAATTTCATGAAAATCGGTCGAGCCGTTTCGGATGAGTTCAATTACATACACCGTCATGGTGTATGTAATTGAACGAGAATTTTATATATTAGATATTACAAAAATAAATACAGAAAGCAAGAAATGCAAATATCTTCAGTGACAAACAGTGTCAATACAGTGACAGAAATGACTACATATCTATGGCAGATAAACGGAACGGCTGTTCTAGGTAATGGTCCCAGTTTACTTACCGTCGCGAGACCGCCACCAACCCGCCCACGCCCGACACAGAAACCCACGTGGGCGCCGCCCGAAGACAATATACATAACTAGTCATAGCAAACAACACTTCGTGGTTGGTTCTCGCCTACGAGCATGGTGAAACCAACATATCGTGCACGTTACAAAGCGGTTCCCACGGTACATTCAGATTA